TGAACTACCCTCGACTTGATCCATCCCAATGATGGTAGGTAGGCAACTCTTTTCCGAGAGCGCGGTTGAGAAAGATTTTTATTGAACCCCTGGGACTCTGTCCGCTTCCCTGAAGTAAGTCTTACCGCAGACGTGACATTTCACTATAAAAATGAAAGAGTTAAGTTAAATCGATAGGTTGAGGAATCGAACCTTAAGGCTTCAACACATAGACCATTTGCACCAGTAGCGAACTCAGTACAGGTGGAGTTGCGTGGCCTATTCATCTTCATCCTAGATTCGCTCGTTAACTGGATGAATAAAAGGAATTAAGGGTAAGAAGGAAAGGGTAGCTTGGATTTCAGATGTTGACGTAAAAAAAAAGTCCTTTGCTTAAGCCGCAGGGCTCAAATACCTGATATCAAGATCAAAGGCATACCTGACTCCCGAATGGAAGGAAAAAGAATGCCCTCTCCAACTACAAATGGATACCAGACCGCCCCCGGTGAAAGCCCTCTTTTCCATACGGCCCTAAAAGTCAAGTTTTCCATGGTTCTTTTTGGCTCTTTATGAAAGATTGTTGGTAAGCCTACCCTCCCAGGCGCACCTGATTAGCCACTTACTCTAGTATGAATTGCTTGCTTGTCGGATCGAACACCTTAAAATGGGAACCTGCAAAGCCGTTCCATTACTCATTGATCGTTAACCATAAGATTGGCTGACTAACTGCCGGATTTTACATTACACCTTCACAAGGGTGTGATCAACTCAAGCGGGTCTTTCGGGCCGGGATCCTAACCAGTACCTACCATGCCCCCGAGATTCCTCAGTACATATGGGTTGGTGCTTAGTCTGTCAATTCTATCTCAACAAAGGAAAAATCGTTCGTTCCGCTTCTTTTTTCAAAAAAAAGAGCTCCTCCGACAAGCTCATTCGCTCACAGACAATAGTAGATAAATGAATCGATCCTTCGTGCTTTCACTTAGCCCTCGGCTGTGAACCATTGTCACTCGTATGGGTGCATGTACCTCCGCGCCTAGAAGAGAGCTTTCACTGGGGATTAAAAAAAAGGGGGGATTGGCATGTATTCCCCACGGGGAAATTCCCATTGAGAGTTTACATACGTATACCTCTATTCTTATACCCGGCATTCGCTGCCATAAGACAGCCCTGGTATTCCCACATTTCTTTTTTTCTAAGACAATGGATTTTCTGCTAACAGCGGATTCTATTCCGAGAAAACCATCGAGATAACTACAAAAGAACCTTCCGCCTTGCTTTCGAGCTTAGCTTTGCGTCATGGGTTCCAAATTGGCTGAGCTAACCGTACCAGGCGAAGAACACATGCTGGGAACCTGGTGAAAGGAGCTCTTCCAGGTCTCTATAACCTGAACATTCTTCACTTTATTGGCAAGACCAATCCGCAACCGTAGAACCGCAACACGGCTTGGTAGGGTAAATGGCGACCTTTAGACTGTCTTCCTCTCAAGGCAACGAACGAGCGGGGGCTCCGAGACCTCGTTTTTTGTTTTCCTCATTAAGGAATGCAAGTACTCAATTTTTAGAGTAAAGAAGAGGGACTCCCTTTCGTCTACTTTATTAAATGTCGAAAGACACTTCATTCTGCTCCTGCGAGGTATAGCGGAATTACGCGGGAAGGAGTATCAGAATATAGAGATAGACTAGAAGCAGACGAGGAGAAGGTTTACTTTGGAGTTCCTTCCCTCTCTCAATCTGTGACCGTCCCCTTTCGGAAGGGATTTTTTGTCATACTATAACGTTTACTTTCTATTGGATTTGTCCTTAAGATTCTACTAGCGCTACAAACTTCATTTATATGACGTTAAGTGAGAGATCTGCAATTCATCTTGTGTTTGTCTCACTAAATCAACTTCTGCAGTCTCAACTCTCTATTGAATTCCCGCAGATCTCAGTTATCTCAAAATGGCTCAGCCTCTTGTGAAGAAAGATGATGATCGCGATGATGAACTGGAATACTCTCGGCATTGAGAAGGTTGCTGCAAATAAGATAGCGAGCTACAAGGCGAAAAGAGGTCTCATGACCAGGGAACTGAAAAGAAGTAAAAGCCGGAGGAATGAATTTGAAAGCTTTCTAGGAAGAGAAAGGAATGCATTTTCTGACATAACTATACGAAATTTCTTTGATCGATGCCTTTGACTCAGATCCCAATCCCTGGAGCGAAAGAATCTGGTAATATATCCTCTGGTTTAGCTCCACCTCTGAGAAATCTTTAGTCCTCCGTCTCTACTGCCCTTTCACTCCAGTTTACCGTAGCAACTACAGCAAGCTGCCTAGCTCACTGGCTCGTATGACTAGCTCGCTTACTTTAACTCATCAGCCTAGCTCTAACAAGCCAACACTCCGTTCCTAGTTTCGCTACCCTGCTTTACCTGGTGAGATAGCTTTCTTAAGGATTGGCTGTCCTACTTACCATGCTTTCCATGCCATGTGCTTCCTCCAAGACTTGAAAAGGGGCTGCCCTATATTATATAGTAAGTTTCTTTTGGTTAGAAATGGAATAAGAGAAGAAAAATCGTAGCGTAGTCCTCCGGGGGTAGGGTTAACACTCCATAGATCAGATCGTGAACTCTTTCAGACCCTTAGTTTCACTTGGTTGGGGCAGAGTTTCAGCCTGCCTTCTACCGAATATAAAAAAACCTTACAGCTGCCTAATCTGCTGACATCCCCGCGAAGAGAGTCATTATTTGTGTCACATCCTCGAATTCGAGAGCCTGTTATCTCTCAAATTATAGGATAGGCATTGAAGCGATCGAGCGAGAGAAAGAAAGAAAACTATTGCACACGCCCCTCATTCGCCCAGAAGGTAAGGCAAAAGCAGCTTAAGCTTCCGATCACCCGACCCGAGAAGCCCTCGATGAACCGCCTATAGTCTTATATAGACTTTTATATATAAATAAAGATTTATAAGTATGACTAATCTGACGAAGAATCGTAGTTCCTGCACCTTGCGTGGCGTCTCCCAGTCCAATAATAGCCCAGATGGCCAATCACTCACGCGATTCAAGCAAATTAGGATCCTTGGAAGACCATTGCGAATACACTAATCTTTCTAGGCACCACTTAAACAGGATCCTGTGGCAACAGACCAGATAGTTTACCATTACCTCCAGTCTTAAGTAGCATGTAAGACAGAGGGAAAGAACAGCACCTGACAGCCCTTCCGAAATTAGAACTAGCATGAGAATACATGTGACCTATACTCTCTATATGCTAACAGTAGCCGTGCGAAGCCCTTCTCAGTGTATTGGTTTCTTTATTACCATATTCGAACTTTCTCCTTCAAAGAAGGCTAAAATTCAATAAATCAGTAAGTGGCCCAAACACGTAGGTAGCTCACTCAACTTATTGCCACAAGCTTGAGGACCTTCAGGGAGGCCCATATCTGCTCTTATTCTCTTCTCTTTTATTGATTGACCGGATGCGACCGATGGAAGGTATCTAATTCAAATAAAAGAAGGGAGTCAAATGACTTTCGTGGACTGCTGCCCCGCTCCTTAAGGTGCCCATCTCTGAGTTGGATTGATATCTCATTTTTTAAGCAAAGTCAAAGGAGCCATTCTCAAGTAGGCCGCTTTCAGTCGTTCCACTTCGGTCCTCCACTCGCTACACATAGTTGTCCAAAGCATTAGGCACGGTTTGTGACCGACCCCGCGATGAGTCTTTACTTATCCGTCCGAAAATGCGCTATATCAAATTCGTTTATATACCCACATGGGATCCTCCCTGAAACATTGCCTTTTCCTCTCCTTATGGTTGAGAGATCCAGTCGGTCAAGCCAGTTTGGTTAGTTCTTTCTTAGATCCGGTCCGAGTGGTAGCCTGGCGAAGATGGCGGCTCCATACGGGGAACCGGGTTATTAGGCAATAATGGTCAATATAAGAGTTCCGATGATGAGCTGCCTATCTCGCTGTGAAGCTTGCGCCTCTTTTCATTCTACTTCTATTTTATGGACATGTTCTTCACATCCTCGATTCTAACCATAGGATAGAGTTGAAGTGAACCTAGAGAAAACCCAGAGGAGTTTTCTAATGAAGAACGTTCCCGCTGCCCTATCTCTAGTGTAGTGGTGGTGTAGCGCGTTAGAGAGATCAGTCTCATCCATATAAAAAACCAATATATCTGCTATGAGTGAATCTACTCCGGCTCTGGGTGAAAGAACCAAAGAACCACTGCGATTGCCTTTGACCATACCTTGACCTATGCCTATATTCTCGAGTTTCGGATCGAGAGCGAGTAGTTTCTTCAGTAGAGCCGGTTGATTCCGGCGATTCTGTTGATGAAGCAGTCGACCGAGCGGTAGGGATACTAAAAGGTTCGAATTGCTATCTCTGCTGGTGATCATCTTCTTTGTCTTGGTAGAGAACTGATCATCGAGTGCTTTCTTTCTCCATTGAGGTTCACCCTCATCTTCCTTCCCCACCCATCGCTCCGGGTTCGAGTACCGGTCCGACAACTAAAATAGGTTAAACTTCATTCAGTGAGATTGGGTTAGTGCTTGTAGAAATGGAAAGCAAGATGGGCTTTGTGCCCTAGGAGATTTATATATGGTATATAATAATACAGGAATATACTGTATTTACACCGTATGTACAGAATAATATACAGCTAATAGTGCTCAGTCTACGAGAAGATTTCCCATCTTCTTGGTTTGGGGTCTCTTGTTTGAACCGAGCGTAGAAAGAATTGTGCATGAATTGCTTATCATCAAATCATTGAAAAGAAATGGATCGAGGAATAGCGTATAAAGACATAATAATAAATCGGAAAGGCTGCATCTGCATCGCACGCATAGCGATGAAATAGCTGATGAACTGAAATAGCTAGGGGCAAAGAGCGATAGGAGAGGCTTGCAGTGCAGCAAGAAGAAAAGAATGCATTTCTTTCTTTCCAAGTGAGATGTTCAAGAAAGAAGGAAGGAGGGGAAGAATCGACGAGGAATCTAGAAGAGAAAATCGTGAATGAAAAAGCGTGACGAGAATTCCTCATCCATCCATGCTTCAACTGGATCCATTCACCTATTTCACACAATTCTTCTGGTCATGCCTTTTCCTCTTGACTTTCTATATTGCCATATGCAATGATAGAGACGGAGTACTTGGGATCAGCAGAATTCTAAAACTACGAAACCAACTGCTTTCACATCGGGAGAACAAGATCCGGAGCAAGGACCCCAAGAGTTTAGAAGAAATATTAAGAAAAGGTTTTAGCACTGGTGTATCCTATATGTACTCCAGTTTATTCGAAGTATCCCAATGGTGTAAGGCCGTCGACTTATTGGGAAAAAGGAGGAAGATGACTTTGATCTCTTCTTTCGGAGAAATAAGTGCCTCACGAGGAATAGAAAGAAACATATTCTATTTGATCTCGAAGTCCTCATATAGCACTTCTTCCAATCCTGGATGGGGGATCACTTGTAGGAATGACATAATGCTAATCCATGTTCCACACGGCCAAGGAAGCATCACTTTTTAATCTCATTATGACTTGGTTGTTCGGAAGAGAATTATTCTCAATCACAATAGTGGAATGAAAGGTTTGAAGACGTGAGACCGGAATTCAATTCCACGACTACAAGCGGGAGAGGAAGGGCAAGAAATTAAATACTCCTTTTCCAATCGCCCCGCGAAGACAGACGTTCAGAAAGGTTCTCGAGATTCTCCATCGCTCTTTTTAGTGGGGAGGAATAGTGCGGGAAGGGAGCGAGACCAAGCCGAGCCACTAGGAGAGTAAGCCCTTCCCACGTGTCAAGTTGAATAAATGAATGCAGCCTCAACTTCAATTGCTTCAGTTGGAGCTGCTGTAGGTATTGGCATACTATTTCTCGCAGTACACAAATACAGATCACACCTTCCTTCGCGGGCCGAGGAGCCAGTAGCTCGTCTCGTTTCAGAGTATGCTCAGGAGATGGACATTCAAAATGTTCCTCTCTTGACTCCGGAACAGTATCTGGACGAGATAGCGACTCAACTGGAATTCAAGTGTTTGAATTTGTTTGGTATTCAAACACTTCCCGGGGGTCACTCCTGGAGTGAACTGGCACAATCTGTCATTTCTTCAATAAATGCTGATTTGACAGATCTATCCACTCTCACCTGTGTGCATGCCCTCTTATTAGAGAGCGGCGGGTATGATTATAACTCCATTATGACTAAAGCTCTCGAAATAATAACCATGTGGGGCGGCGCTATTTGTTGAGTTTCGTAAGACTTTCGAAATAGCCTTGAATCTTGAGAATGAGAATGTAGGGATTGTTATTTTCCAAAAATCTTGCTTAAAATCAAAGAAAGAAGGTCTATTTTCCCACGTAGTTCGTCGGTCAAACCAACAATTCTCTTCTCAAAGTAATAGTAGAGAGATCTTTTTCTAGTTAGACTTCTATCAATGCAATGAAAGAACCATCCCTTCCTATTTGTTTGTCCTGTCAGATAGAAAGAAAATTAGACCCCAAAGAGCCTTTCTCTTTACTACTTTAGGGGGTGTGGGTGAAGGGGGGTTTACATACAACCGAGGCAAAGTGGTTTATGATTGAATCTCAGAGGCATTCTTATCATTTGGTAGATCCAAGTCCATGGCCTATTTCGGGTTCACTCGGAGCTTTGGCAACAACCGTAGGAGGTGTGATGTACATGCACTCATTTCAAGGGGGTGCAACACTTCTCAGTTTGGGCCTCATATTTATCCTATATACCATGTTCGTATGGTGGCGCGATGTTCTACGTGAATCCACCTTGGAAGGACATCATACCAAAGTCGTACAATTAGGACCTCGATATGGTTTTATTCTTTTTATCGTATCGGAGGTTATGTTCTTTTTTGCTTTTTTTCGGGCTTCTTCTCATTCTTCTTTGGCACCTACGGTAGAGATCGGAGGTATTTGGCCCCCAAAAGGGATTGAGGTTTTAGATCCTTGGGAAATCCCTTTTCTTAATACCCTTATTCCCCCTTCATCCGGAGCTGCCGTAACTTGGGCTCATCATGCTATACTCGCGGGGAAGGAAAAACGAGCAGTTTACGCTTTAGTAGCTACCGTTTTACTGGCTCTAGTATTCACTGGCTTTCAAGGAATGGAATATTATCAAGCACCCTTCACTATTTCGGATAGTATTTATGGTTCTACCTTTTTTTTAGCAACTGGCTTTCATGGTTTTCATGTGATTATAGGTACTCTTTTCTTGATCATCTGTGGTATTCGCCAATATCTTGGTCATCTGACCAAGGAGCATCACGTTGGCTTTGAAGCAGCTGCATGGTACTGGCATTTTGTAGACGTGGTTCGGTTATTCCCATTTGTCTCTATCTATTGGTGGGGGGGTATATGAAGGAACGAATCAGTGGATTGAGGAATGAAAGCTCGAAGACAAAGAGAACCGGGCTTTTCCAAAGAATTACTGCAGCTTTCCTACTCCCTTTAATTATTATATACAAAAAAGTCTCTTCCACTTTCCTACCAAATCTCTCTATATTCTGGCATATAAATGAAGGTATCGAAGAGATTATGGCAGATCATGTTCACCAAGAAATGACCCGAAATTGGATCTTGGTCTATTTGAGATTGTTCCTTTTAATCGTAATCAAAGATGTTTTCTTGTCTCTCGTTTCTTTTCTGAACAAATCGAAGAACCTAATGGATCGAACTACCAATCTGCCATGTATTCCTTGGTCAACAACCAAGAAAAGCTCTCAACAAGTCTCTCTCTTTTTTTGGGGGGAGCGGAGCAGTCTTAAGAGCTAATCCGTCAAATAATAATAGTAGAGAATTTGCGCCATGCTATCTATTCCTCCTCCCTTTTTAGTAACAAAATGAACCAGTGATCGACCGTAACAACCAAAAGGCATAGACTAGACGGAGGAGCTATCCTTATTAAATTAAGACAGGTTTGAGTTCATAATGGAACTAGGATTTATAGATATGCTTGAGAGATCCCCTGCTGATGTGATCCCAGATCCCGATAAGGACCGCCCAGGTCAACTAAATGCGTTAAATGAGAGTTCCTTTGTACCACCGCCAACTAAGACAACTTTCTTTAAGTAAAAGCAGATCGATCAACGAAGGTGCTAAGCTTCCGTGCCCGCCCACTGCTTTCATCGCTGGTGCCTCCACCTCTGCTAGTGGTTTTGTGGATTCACCTACTTATGCCTGGTATTTCTTATGGAGAAATAGGTGGTTCTGAATCAACGGGCTCTGCTGCTTTTACTTAGCTGTTTGCTCCTGCCTTTGTATCTGCTATGAGTGAATCTACTCTGGGGTGAAACAACCACTGCGATTGCCTTTTACCATACCTTTACCTATGCCTATATGAATATCTTAAAGTTGCAGATCCAAAGCGAGTAGTTTCTTCAGTAGAGCCGGTTGATTCCGGCGATTCTGTTGATGAAGCAGTCAATGAAGAAAGACATGGTTGAGTCAGTCGAAGAAGCAAATGCTCTCGCCTTAGGTAAGCATACACACCTACCGCGAATTAGAGAGACCTGACCTACATTCATTAATCATCTCGTAGGAATTTCCCGGTAGGTCAAAAGAGCAATTTGGAAGACTCTCTCGAAAGGTGTCTGCTCGTGGAATAGAAAGAGTTCGTTGCATCAACAAAGTGTAGTAGTCAAAAACGCTTACTTAAGCTCATCGATGTGTACTCACTCCTCGGCTGTTAAAGAGAGGGCGCTTCTGAGCTAAATCAATCCCGCACAGGTGATTACCCGGAACTTTACACTCAATGGAAAGCAAAAAGGAAGACTAAATCCGCTTTGAAAGCGATTCCAGAGACTATAAGAACGACCGGGTGGCAGGTGGGAGCAGTAGAAGCATTGAGATTTGCTTGTTCAGAGATGCGTCAAAGGTATACCTATGAAAGTGGATTGCAAGGGTCAGGCACCAATGCATTACTAAAGAATAACAAACCAGAATAACTTCTCGGGGAGCGTGGAAAGAAGGAGACCTAAAAGTGATATCTGTAGGCCGACCTTGGGATTGATACGCTTCGACTTAGCCTTGATAGGCTAATGCACTCTCTTGATCCAATGCTCAATCTTTCGCTCAAATGGAATGGCCGATAAATCTTCAACTCCAACAGATCTTGTGAGACAAACCCTCGGTGAAGCACTGCATCTTTCTAGCTTCAAAGAAAGAGAAAGACAACGCCCAAGCTTAGGACTTTGATCAATGGGCACTGTAGAATAGAGAGGCGCTAACATGCAAAAAAGCCTCCTTTCGGGTGGCGGATGTCAGCGGTTTAAACCCAAGTAGCTGTGGCCCATGATCCAAACGCAAGCAGTCAATCACGCTATCCTTACCTTTCAACCAATTCCTTCGATTCCGCTTCTGCAGCAGTATAGTTTCTCGGTCCCTTACCTTGATGCCTACAGCTCAATTTGTTTTCGAGTGAGGGCAAGAATCCGTGGGGCAGCGATTTTTCTTTTGGTTGTTCTTGTGGCGTCGTCTCTGGGCGGCGCCTTCGGAGTCCGATATTGCCGAAGGACAGTGTGGACCGCAGCTCTGCCGCAGAAGGGGAAGATGTTGTTTCCGACCAGAATGCCGATTCCGCCATCCGGCCCCGAGGAAGCGAGATTGTGGCACTCCAGTCAGCCATCTTGGTCTCACTCATATTGGAGATCAGAGACAGAAAGCGGGCTGACCTCTAAAAAGAGGTTCCTGCTCCATAAACGCTTTCCTCCAATGAACAGACGAACCGAATCCTTTCTCGATGGGAAAGCTTGACCTTACTTCAATAGTATATGGGTATCAACCGGCTAACTCTACGTATAAATGGCTGCTGTTAGAATAGCTACTCTTTGAGCAGTCATCCAGGATGATAGTGTTCCGACAACCAAGGCATGGCAGTCATACGGCTAGCGAGATAGTTCAAATCACTTAATCCCTCTTTCATAGCCACATTCCTTTCAATAAAGCCTTAAAAAGTGCGCTTAGTGATCAATAAATCATATCTAGGGAGTTCGACTAGTGACCGATAGCGAGATAAAGGGAAAGAAGTCGACTACGAAAAAGGAATCAATAGAAGCACAGGGCAAAGAAGCAGCACTCCCCTAGCATCGCGCTATGCCCTAGCTTGTTGAGGAGCGCGCTTAAACAGCTCTGTCTTTTCTTATTGAATTTCTCCTTTCATTCCATCTGCTGCTCCTTCTGTAACCGCTTTTTTGCCCACTTCTCTTCCTTTTATATTATTTATTAAGGTCGCAATATCGGTTGTTAGAGAAGGGATTGCCCTAAAGGTGAACTTGGTCTTCGATTTCTTGTATGATCATTTTGGAACAAGGGATGCGGTTAGTTGAACCGATTTCAAAGGCGAAGACGACATCTTAAGCTCCTCATTCCCCATCGTTGTAGGTACAAAACGTCCTAGAGAATTGAACTTATGGGAGTACTCGGTGACTCTCATGTCATTGGTTTGCTTGAGGTTATCAAATTCACCTATGCGGTTAAGTCTAACCGTATCCGGTTAATAATAAGTTAGGAAAACTCTCCTAAAGTCACTCCAAGTAGTCGGCTTTGGCAATGATGGCTCTACACCCTTCCACCATGTCTCGGCATCTCCGGTCAAGAATAAGACTATAAGTTCACACTTAAACTCCTCGGGGATTAACAACACTCTTAAGTTCTTCTCGACATCAGCTAACCACTTCTAAGCTACGTGAGTGCGGAACATGCTCTCTTCTTGATCTCATCAGCATAGACCGTTGAGGCGGTCTGGGTTCTACCCATTGGTTGACTCCTCTGTTGACCATGCCACTCTCTTTCAGAGCCTATTGGTAAGCGCTACGTCCAGTATCAGGCTCGGAATCACTTGGCCCCTGCTGCCTAGAAGTGGCCGAACAAAAGGAGATCAGAGATCAGTACGGAAGCCGCCGGATTACTTTCTTATTTTAGAGCGAAAGGAGTACCTTCTTTATTGGCCTATTACCAAAAGGAGGGTTGTCTTATCACTAAGACTAATAGACTAATAATAGACTCTTCTTATCCGTTTTGGTTGTAGCTCAACCGTACTGAGCGAAGGTGCGAATCCTACTTCTAATAGAGTGGATTGAGGTAATGAGCTCTCATGTAGTTCAGAAAGAGGTTAAAGAAAAGACCTTAAAGCAATGGCTTCGGCTGAAGTAACTGATCCAAGAGTAGACAATAAGCTCTTCGGTAAGCAGAAGCATTGCATAACGTAGGTTGGAATGTCTTGAATTACTGCCTTGATCAAGATTTCTTTGCCAGAGGAAGATCGAATCTTCTCTTTCCATCCTTGCAATTTTATCCATATACGATCTTTTACAAAAGTGAAAAAAAAATGTAATGTAATGAATTTATTCGTAACGAGATCGATATGATCATCATAAGTTAGACTGGTGTTAATAGCTCTCCCAAGTTCTAGTTCTTTTCTGTAGAGGATCTGCATTTATCAACCCTACCTGAAAGGAATAGACTGGAGATGAGCGTCTCCCCGAAGGCAATATTACAGAGGGTTCGAGGAGTAAGTCCGAGTTCCCTGGACACAGTCTCCACCAGGAGCGTGATCTATTCAGTTCTTTAAGGAAGAAATTGCCGTAAAGAAGAGAAACCCCTTCTAGATATCTGAGAAGAAGTGCAATATCTAGCCCTCGATATCAAGGCGAAAAGGACCTCAAAACCCTCAAAGAATGGCTCAAAAAACGATGACATATCTGTTCTTTAAGCGTATCCGCTACATTTTCGTCCACTCTCTCTTGATAATTCTCCAACGTCAAACTACGAAGACGTGCAACTCTCCATATCGCAAGAATTAAGACAACTGAAGGTAGCAAAGGAAAGAAAGGAGATAGAAGGGATATAAGATAGCCTAGAACCATATCCGGTAAATTGTTCATGTTACGGTAACTTAGAGACTTAAGATAGTGAACGATCAGCGCGATTGTTCATATTTCATTTTCTTCTTCCAAACCAAGCCCTTGCATTCACTGAGTTACTTACGTTACGGTCTTTAGCAGGCAGGCTGCGCCTTCTGGGAACCCTAGAATTTCAAGACTCCTTGTCTCTATCTTCAACCCCAGCAAAGAAGACTGTGTCTTTTCTAAGATTAGCTTCGAGCCCTGCTTCAATCTATGAATGTGCTGTTCTTGCTTCTTCTTTCCCCTTCCTTATTAGCGTATTCTTTGATTGACTATCTTCGACGAATAGTTTCTTTATCAGAGAGTGGGTAGTTTACCAGGGTAAGGCATGCCAACTGAAGTGAGTTCCGATTCTACCAGTCCTGGATTTGCTTTCTTCGGTGAATCTACAGTATTTGTTTCGTAATAAGTCTATTCTCTCATCGGTGAATTCCCAGTCTCTCATTGAATGAGCGGTATTCCTCTCCTACATCTGTGATTGAGGAGCCGGAGACTCCCTCTTAGGTTGTCAAGAGCGGTAGGAAGCCAAGGCTCGAAAGCGCATTCTTTCTAGCCATTATCAAGTTGATGCTCTTGCTTCCACTTCCTTTCAATCAATTGATGCAGCTCTTGGTAGCCGACGCTAGGATTTTGGAAAGATATACATGAGAGTGAGTTTAGTTTGAGGAGAAAGAGCCTTCCCATTTGCTGTTCTAGACCCAGGTACGCTAGAAAAGCTATCACTTCCTTTGAATCCAAATAAGCCGTACGTACCACCCCGCGCAGAAACTTTTTTTCGTACTATGGCGTGCTCTTTTTTTTGAGCGCATTCATTGCTTCTGACTATGTCGATGAAAAAGACTTTACCTGGAAGACAACCACTAGAGCTTGCTTGGCTCTCGCTCCCACTCTTTCGAGCTATAACGTCAATAGCAAGACTGATTACCAATCCCGGGCGATTCGAGCGAGTAGGCCCCGACAGGAGCTTAGCCCGATGGATGCGTTCTCAATCCTCTTAGGAATCTCTATCTCACCCAAGGGAAAGAGATTCGATAAACCACCGATCTTGCCCAAAAGCAATCATTTAGCTCTAGCTCTACTCCTTCTACAGGGATGAAAGTAACTCGACCGTAAGGGTCAGAGCTATGTTGACGTATCAAAAGGTTGAGAGGGATCTTGCTCGTTCTACAAGTATTCCGCTCGCTCCACTCGTTTATTCCACGTAGACCCTCACTTAGACTTTCTTCTGATCTTGCTTACCGTTCTGATTGGGCTTCGAGTGGGGTAGATCTCTATGGAGGTTATGCTTCGGTTCCTTCCTCTAGCTCCGAGTGAAGATCTTTTTGAATTGGACAAAGCCATAAGACACTCACAGACAAAGCAGCTCGGGGGATAAAGATAAGAGGAGTGAAAGCCATGTACCCCTAATCTTCCCACCCGGGCTAAGGTATGAGTTTCCAGGCGGAAAGCCCATTCTCGATATGTGCCTATCATTACGATATTTTCCTTTCCTTCTGATAATAGTACTAGACTCTTGGCTTAAGTCAGCAAGTCATGCTCCTTCTGTGTTAGGGCCTCGCTTATATGTCTTAGTAGAGGGCCCCTTCAAGTTAGTCTTCTAAGGATACTACTGGCTCCAGTAAACATGCTTTAATTTGCCTTTGATTCACGAGGGAACTGTCTAAAAGTGAAAGGCATCATTGGTAGGCGGCCAAGCGAACATTCCCGCTAATCACTCTACTCCTCCTGCGAACCGTTGATGAGCAAGCCGAGCTTGGAACCTCTTCTACTTTACCGACAGCAGCTCTGAATAAGGAATGATTGAACTTTGGCTATCCACATCTGAAAGCACTCTACTTCAACCTCTTAGTTATCAAATCCTCTTGATTCACTCTTATCTTGAAAAAGAAAGATCACATTTAAAAGGGATCTCCTCTTATTATTAAGAATCAAAAAAGCATCCAATTTGCCTTCATAAAGGAAGAAACTCAAGCAAAGATACCATAGAAGGGTACTGCTACTTGAAAGCCTAGGGCTAATAGCAAAACAGGGAGATTCGTGGAAAGATGTGCTATACTATGGATATTTCCTCACAATCATATTGTTGATTCCAGTTACCATCAGATTGAATGAAAGGGATGACCAGCAGATGATAGCAAGGCTAAACAGATTCGAGATTATCGATCAGATGAGCTGACAGGGCAAGCACGTACTACCAGAAGAGTAGACCTCAGAGCGATTGATTCCCAGTGCTTGAATAAACTGACTTGGAGCCTTCCTACTAGAAGGAATGGTGGGAGGGACACTGTTCCCGGCTTTTAACTCCTTCACTGAACCTTAACTGAATGAGAAGGGCTTCCGAGTGGAACGATACCGATCCCGGCCCAACGCGAAAGGCATAAAACCTCTCCGTACGTTCTTACTCTGAGTTAAGAGTTCCGAGTTAGTAGCTAAGAGCGGACTGAGAGGAAGTCATAGGCCGGATTGATTAAATGAGGATGGCTCGGGGAAGTAAGAACTCCAACTTCCATCGAACAGGGGGAAGCGACTAGACTCAGCCTGCAATAGCCAGATAAAGCGGCGGGGACCAATCCAACTAGTTGGAGCCAATCAGTCCAGGGAAGGCAACTGGCCTTAGGCCTGCAATTGGATCTAAAAGATTAGCACAAACAAGAGATGTCATTAGTAAGTACTGCAATCTATCACTCTTTCTCGATCCAAGACAAAAGGAAGAAAAATAGATGCCCTTCTCTCTTAAACTAGCTCGCTGGCTGTAATGGACTCTTGAATTGCTATTGGCCTAATTGGCCCTAAAATGCGAGCTTTCTATCTCACTTGTTTGCTAGCTTGCAACTGCTGTTACGGGCACTGAAACTAACTCGGCTGTCCCGAGGGAGATTTTTTTCAAAAATGATAAGAAATTAATCGCGAAGAAAGCGAAATCTAAAGATAGGGGAGAGGAATTTCTATTTGCAATAGCAAGAGGCGTAGGGAACCCATTGAAAATGGATGACATTACTAAGATAAGATCGAAGCTGCTATACGCCCTATATGCGTAGACATCGACCTAAGGTATAAACCTCCTCTTGGACATTGGTGATAGCGGAGACCCCTGCTAACTCTTGTTTTCCTGCCCAAGCCTCTCTCGATCCCTTGGAAAAAGACCTATTTGCCTATCTCTTTGATCTGACTAGGTCAATCGACCTATCCCCCAGCGTACCGGAGCTTGTCTACCCGCTGAAGATCGCCCCTACTGCATACTGGGCACGGATCCCCTTTCTTTCTTGCGGTCGCCTCGGGCTTAATCCGTATAATGGTTATCAACTACTGGCATTGTGGGGTAAGATTTCTTTGACATAGAAGGATGCCCCTCGGAAGGTTTAGCTACGTCCTGTAAAAACTTGCTACAAGCAGGCAACTTACTACCTCTCTGTCTCCTCTTCTTATATAGTTGATGGACTTAGTTTCATCGTATAAGAGACGGGTCGGTGGGCAAGTGAGTACCTGTACTACGGTCGTATCAAAACCTAAAAACTGAAAGAAGAAGGAAAATCAATCAATAGGACACTATCGAAGTTTAAACGTCACAGGTCTCCCGCCAGAAGGGAAAGTTTCAACCGAAAATGGCTTCTCATAGGATAGGGCATTCCATCCGATTCTTTTCTGAACAAATAAAATCCCAGAGCCCAAACTCTGGTTAGAGCGAGAGCTAGAGGGAGAGTTGAGAGACTTAGGTCCGGACCATAGCCATCATTTGAGGGGGACTCTCTTTATAAAATAAAGAAGCCCAAGGCCCATCTAGATTCAAAATGGAGTAGCATAAATCCCCGTATATTCGAACTGCGATATCTTCTTTCTTTTTTAATCATTCCCAATACCGAGATGAGTTCTCGTCCCATCTTGCTTTTGCTACCGGTCACCGTAAGCAACCTCTAATAACTTGCTTGAGCCACGGGGAAATACTCTATGAGACCGGCCCTATACCTATACGAAGGCAAGCTTTCCAACGAAATACCCCATGAGGTAGATTAAGAAGGGCGCGCTTTCGAATTAGCGAAAAAAGAAGGGAAGTGAACTTTGCCCTGAACGAAGGATTTATCCTTTGTTGAGATAGAACTAAGCACCAACTAGATCGCCTATGAAGAAAGTAGGCACAAAGACATTTCTAAAGAAAGAAGGCAGCAAGCAAGGACATGAGGATAGAGGCTTCGGATTCCTTATCACCACCCGAAGAAAAGAGATCGAACTGATAATTGGAATTGGAAGAGGAGACAGAGCACGTAGCTCAGCTCATAGGACTTCCGGGCGAGGAAAGCCTAAACCTTATCCTTATTGGAGGCCTCTTCGTGCCTTACTTCTCTATGGATCTGACCGGCTCGATTGAGACAGAGAGTCAAGGTGCGAATCGAAAGTTTAAAAGGCTTCTTCCGATGTCGAATCAGG